TTTGAAGAAGTGTATCCTTTACTTGATTTAGGATAACCATGGATTTTGAAGCACCTTTCAACTGAATGACCATAGATTTTGCAATGTTGACAGAAGTATTTGGACTTCCTTCCACTAGGAGTAATTCCAAACACAGGTTTGTTAGAGCCAACAGAAACATGATTCAAGGAAGCCAAAGCACTGGACTCACTGCTCAATGGACTAGAGCTGCTGCAATCCCTTTGAGTTTCTTCTTGAGCAATCAGTTTGTATGCTTGGCTCAAAGTAGGAAGGGGCTTCATCATAATGATATTACCTCTAGCAGTTTTGAAGCTATCATTAAGTCCCATTAGAAATTGCATTAATTGTTGATTCTGAAGCAGTTTAATGTAATTTCCAGCTCCTTCACACTTGCAATGTGGTAGAACTATCATCGTTAAGTATGTGTCCCAAAGTCCTTTCAGTTTGGTGAAATATTCAGAGACAGAATCAGAACCTTGAACCAGAGTCACTATTTCCTTGTGCAGCTGAAATAGCTTTGGTGCATTGCTTTGACCAAAGCGATCATCAAGATCCTCCCATATTTCCTTGGCAGATTCACAGTATAACACACTATTCGCAATTCCAGATTCAACAGAGTGTAGAATCCAGGATATTACCAGATTATTGCAACGATTCCATTGTGCGAAGTTAGGAGAAGAGACATCTGGTGATTTCGAGCTTCCATCAACAAAACCTAACTTGTTTCTGGCTCTCAACACAATTTCAACAGATCTTTTCCATTGCGGAAAGTTTTTTCCGTTCAATTTCTGTGATGCCAGCGAAAAATTTGGTGAATCAGTGGGATGCAGATACAATTCACTTTGTATGTCGATTGGGATATGCGAGGAAGAATTCTCTATCGCCATGAATATCTCGAACAATTGCAGAAGAACTGAATATGATTTCAAGCCGTTAGAAGAATCGGAAATCTAGACGCCATTGAAGATAGGCTCTGATACCATGTTAAATTTCATTGAAGAAGATGAAATTGTAAAACAAACGCAGGAAAATTCCATTAAACTGAAGCTCAAATGTGTCTCTGAAAATCTGCCCTAACGGGGAGGAAGAAACTAGCTATATAAACTACCATAACTAATCAAACAGAAAGTCCAAAAAACAAGGGAAATTTGTTAGAAATGAAATGACAGGTGGCACTAAGTGGTTAGAAGTGTAAGCTGACTGCGCAGCTTGATCCTTCACATATGAATTCGATCAAAGCGACGTAGCAAGGTTCGATGAAGCCTTATCAGCGATGTAGAATTTCCTAGGATGGTGTTGACAAATGTGTAAGCATTTTTTACCCCAAATTGGATGAATTAACATCTGTACTTGATGTAAGAATCATGGTTCCTTATATAGCCAACTTTATAGATGAGAATGAAGAGGTTTGACAGTGGCAACCAATACTAATTATACATTCGTATTGGAAAAACAACCCCGACTCAGTCATCGTCCATGAGAGATGCTCTAGTCGGAAATCGGAATTGTGGAGGGGCAGTGTGAAGCGAACACGTTTGCGTTCACTATTAGGGGCCGACTTAGAGTTGCAATTGAAGAGGTTGGCTGCAAAGTTTAAAATGAATTAGGCAAAGTGTGAAGCGAAGACGTTTTCCAGTTTACCCACATGACACCTAGGTGACTAGTACATGAATTAGGCAAAGTTTAACATCCATATGAAAGAAAATAGAGTTTATTGCACCAACACCCCCTATGGTTTGGTAAATGTGCACCGTTACCCCCATGGTTTCAAGACTCACACTGTTGCCCCTCGTGATTCTGATATTGCTATGCGAATGCCCCTCTGGACAAAAATATCCTTCAAATATTAGGTGAATAATTGTCCCCTACGGTTTTGAAAATGGGCTCCAACTCGCCCTCTTTTTTCTCTATTGTTTTTTTTCGTTTCTTTTTTTCATAAAGAGAAGAAAAATGTTTGTGTGTGAAATAATGGAAAAATATTTTTTCAAACCTACATTTTAAAAAAAGCTTTTAAAAAATTGCGTTTGAAATAAAAAATTTAACATATACTTCATTTGTCAAATTAAATATTCTCTATTTATATTAGGAATACTTTTTGGACCAATGCGCAAAAGATTTTCTTCATGACTTAACTTTCCCTATTCTATAAAAGTATTTTTTCTTTTAATTTTATTTTGATTAAAATAAAAGAAACACTATAAAATTAATGAACAGAAAATGAGAAATGAGCTTTAGTAACAAAAAGAGAATATTTCATTGATTTTTGTATGATGAAAATGAACCAAGGACATCTTTTTGACAAAAAATGAAAATGTTTAATTTGAGATAAATGAGGTATACATTAGTTCTTGTTGTTTAATTGATTTTTATTGCAAACACAGAAAAAAATTGATTATTAAAACATTGTAAAAAATAATTTTAAAAAAGAAATTTAAAAAATTTTGGAAAAAATAGTTGAAAAAAGAAAAACAATATAGAAAAGAGGGGGCGTTTGTGCCAATTTCCAAAACCATAGGGGGCAGTAGAGCTATTCACATAATATTTGAAGGATATTTTAGTATAGAGGGGCATTAGTGTAGCAACTAGCAATATCAAAACCATGAGGGGCAACGGCGTAAGTTTTGAAATCATAGGAGGTAACAATGCACATTTACCAAACCACATAGGCCATGATGCAATAAACTCAAAAAAATATGTAACAAAGACTAAAAAGTCCTAAAGAAAGTTAGAATCGAAAACACCATTGCTCGCATTGTCACCACCATGATGAGGAGTATGTGGTTCTTGTCTAAAGTCACCTTCCACATTTTCATCATCATGTGGATTACATAGATAAATTGAAGAAAAAAACATTACCGACTTGGATTGGAAATAAATTAATCATTAAGGCATTAAGCATTTTCATTAAAAAATTAAACATTGAAGAGAGGTACTTCAAATGAAATATGGGAAAAAATACTTACTACAAAATACAAAGAAATAGATAACAAAGATAAATTGAAAAAAAAAACATCAAATCGGTAATAAAGTAATTATAAAGCATTAAAAAATAAGGCACTGGATGGGTTGATTGGATTGGAAGTTTTTTAAGGTGGATGGAAAGCTAATTACTCTGTAGAAACCATTTCAAAAAAGTGAGATATGCAATAGAAGACCAAAAGAGAGAGATGCAAACTATTAGGGTTAGAAACTTGCAACTTATTAGGGTTGTGACTTGCAATTGAAAACCAGAGGGAAGAGAAGCAAACTATGATGACTTTCTATATTCCCAATGTCTAGTTGTCCACGGCGCTACGCCAAGACACCATGTCGTATGAAAACTGTTGTAGTTGAGGAAGGGGAAATTAGACGAGTCGATCTACCATAGTGAGAGTAGCATGGCGCTGGGGTCCCAAGTTGAAGCTTAGGCAATGTCGTTACAACAATGGATACACTTGAATATAAAATATTAAATGATAAAAATGTTTTTATGAAGCTATTTTCTTCTTACTCTATTTGAATATATACTGCTTCCTTTTATAATGATTTCTTGGATACATCATTTAAATGTTTGTTTAATCTTTTTAGCATTTTCATATATTTACAGGTTGTATTTTTTCTATAATAATTTGATATTAATCTCAAAAACTAAATATAGATGCAAAAGAGATTATAATTATCTTATAATTGCTAAAAGTTAATATTCCCTCTATCCGAAAATAAACTCCCAGTCTTATTTTTGGGTTGTCCCGAAACAAACTTTCGATTTCCAAAGGGGGTAAGTTTTTCTTTTATAACTCTTCCCCTAACTCCACCTTATTTGTTAAAATTATTTGTTCCTATAACATTGTGCAAAAAGCCTTTGGGAAATTTATTTGGGATAAAGGAATTACTCCGTATTATTTAATTACTGAAGTGCTGAGAAGATTTTAGTCTAAGGATTAAAATTTCAATAACATGTAAATGCATACAAGATTACAAGTGCAAATAAATCAGACAAATTAGACCTAATATTTTACATTCAAAAATAGGGTTTCGGAGGCAAGATGTACACAAACTTATCTCTACCACAACCAATAGAGTGTCTTAGAGGGGACCCCAACAATCAGATTTGTGTACAAGCGAAAAAAAATCATAAAGGATAAAATGTTAAGTAATCAACATACCTGCCAGTATTTGGAAACACATCGGTCAATACAACTATTTTCACCCATGTTCAACTCAGATTCTTTGTACCTGAAGAAATTCAAGAACAACTTCCCAATATAATCATGAAGCACAGTGATAAGGCAAGTAGAATGTATCAATGGAAACATACTTGTTCTCCACGCACTTTTTGAAACATGTATGGGTCAGCCTGAAAGAAAGTGAATGATGAATAGAGGGATTAAAATAACTACAGGTTACAAAAGCATTTTCAGATCACAAAAAGGAAAAGATAACAATTCATAAAATAACATGGGAAGAATCGAAAAAAAAGACTGCTGCATCATTGTTTTTCAAACAAAAACATCAGAAAAGTATATGACCACATCAAAGCATGAGTTATGACTTAGCCACTTAGGTTATATTCTATTTGCAAAACTTGTCATATAAGGGATCCAACATATCATAAACCATATATCAAATTATCAACATACACTATCTTTATTTTTCTACACCTCAAATATTTAGCACACCATAATATAATCGTGTTTCCTAAATATTCCTACACATGGTCCAAAATTACTACAGAAGAAAAGGGAAGACAAATAACTATTCATGAATAGTAACTAGTTTGCAGCATGCTTTCTACACATAATATGGAAAAAATAAAATTAATCACAAAAATCTAGGACAGTCCTCCTCCCCACATGTCTCATATGTCATGGCCACACGTTAGAAGGAGAATAAGAACAAAATGAGATTTATTCTTGAATTAATTAGTAAAATGTTTCAGTTTAGCTTTTGTTTAATACTCCATCTGTCCCACTATTTTTGTCCCTTTTAACCTTTTCTTTTTCTTCTGTTCCACTATTTGTCTCATATCACATTTGATCATATTTGTGTAGTTCACGTTCATACTTACAATATCTTACTTTGTAACATCAATGTTGGCCATACATACTTACTTTTTCTTAATTTCCATGTCACCCCCTCATGTCCCAACAATAGTGGGACATTGGAAGTAATAAACAGTCCATGGTGTATAAAAAACTGCTATGGCCTGAATTTACTATGTAAATTCGTGTAGAGTGGTTTTATTTCTAGTCATTATAATGATTGGAATGAATACCTATAAATATGTTTTCCTTGGATCAATTAATACAAAAGTTGATGTTTGAAAAAAATCTAGGTTTCATACTTAGTAAAATTCTTTTGAGTAGTGTGATTCTATTCACACTAATTTCCTAAATAATATCACTATCATGTGGCATATTAGAGTGCAATTAGAAGTTTTATTAGGACTCCTTATCTTTTATGTGACTCTTGACATACCTAATTAGATAAAATCCCTTATTAATTCTATATTAAAAATCCCTACAGAACTCTTTTTGTTTTGAAATTCCTGGCCTTCTTGGTTATTATCGAATAACAATTTCTTTTCTAATGGTTTCGCTAAGAGGCAATCTCTCACAATAGGAGCAAAACAATGTTCTTATCTCTGAAATAGGAGGGACATATCAATTATCATTATCCTCAAAAGAGGACTATTCCATTGTTATAATGTGCCACTGTATATTTGCTTTCCATAGTGTTTTTTATTATTATATGTTGGCAGTGTTGGCATTATAAGTCCTTTTTTGGATAAAAAACATGAATGTTTTCTTTTGGTTTTTTCAAATGTTTTACTCTTATTTTAATCTTTCTCCATAGCTAAGACCCCTTAGCACGAGTCTCAATCGGCTATAATTTCAGAAGAAGAAAGTGTTAAATATGTTATTATCCATGAGAGTTTGTTTAAAAATTAAAAATCACATTGTACTCCTGGAAACAGATACAGTGTGAGCCATTACAATGTGTCCTTTCTGGGATTTCAAATCATACCAAAATGCTGTAAAATACTTACTTGTTGAACAACTCTACCCTGTACTCCATCTCTCTCTCGGCCATCACATAAAACTGCACCCATTAAGAAATATAAAAACAAAAACATCATACCCTATATAATTCCGCCTCCATATTAATCAAAGTAATGAATGGAAACTTCTGATTCATCCAGATTCTAATCAGCTGATTACTCAACATAGTGATAATTGAAGGTAGTATGCTGCAGATATAAAATAGAAAGCGCACCTGCTCTTTTTCTGAGGCAGAAGGGGATTTTGAAGTAGCCATTGCGCCTTTGAGAGCAGGAAGTGTTCCCAGAGTTGTCTAAGGGAAATGTGGATAGTTTATTTGTGTCGTCAGAATCAGAAAAACCCTAGCAAACATACGAAGTAGAAGAAGGGACGATGTGGACCAGTAACTCCATCAAAGATGTTTGAGAGGGTATGTAGTACAAGGTTTTATTATATTTGGTCGGAGGTAGATAAAAGTTTTATTAGGTAGGTAATGGTAGGTAATTGAAGGTAGATAAAATAAGGTAATGAGTTAAAAAATTGTGTTTGGATGTTTATTAGGTAATGTGAGGTAGAGAAATAATAAAATTACTAAAATATCCTTGTTATTTTTCTTTATTTGTTTAGGATGTATTTATATGAAATTACATTCACATTATATTCTTACTAGTTTTACCCCGTGCTTAGCACGGGCTTTTATATTCGTACATAAAATATATATACAAAATTATTTTTACATCAATTCTAAACATTTTTTTATTTAATTTATTAGAATTTATTTAAATTTTAAATGTAAAATTATAAAATTAAATAAACACTCTGGGACGAAAAGTGAAAAAAAAGTGAACGAAAGCTTGAACTGGAAATTGAGCATAAACTGGAAATTGAAAGCAGAATTGAAGGAAGCAAAAAAAGTGAAGTAAAATTGAAAATCTGTGCAGAAAATTGAAAGCAAAATTGAAGGAAGCAAAAAAAGTGAAGTAAAATTGAAAATCTATGCAGAACCAAAATATGTGAAGTAAGCAAAAAAAGTGAAAAAATTGAAGTGAAGTAAGCAAAATCCGTGCAGAAAGAAATAATGATTCAATGAGCAAAGGTAGAACGGAAAAAAAAAGTTCCAGCCAAACAACAAAAACCCAGAATAAATTTCAACCCAGAAGGAAAAAAGGCAAGATCTTTGAGCATTCATGGAGGAAACCTGGCAAAAAGCCGGTCCCTTTTCATGGTCGACGGAATGACGCAAAGGCAGAACGGGAAAAAAATTGAAAATTGAAGTGAAAAAATCGGAATACCTGTCTGGTTGGAGATGGCTATGGGAAGACGAGGATGGCGATGTGAAGATGTGCGGCGATCAAGTGAAGGATAGCTGCGGAAAATACCGTCATATTTAGCCACAAATGATACTCACGTATCAGTTATACACAAACATTTTGATGGTTTACACCGACACAAGTGTTGATGCGTTAACAAAAATTTACACGGACACAAAGTGTCGGTGCATTAACAAAAATTAGTTTACACCAACAAAAAGTGTCGGTGCAAACCTGCAGGGTACAAAGTGGGGTATAAAAGTTGGGGTACAAATAGCTTTATCCTTAGCCAAATTGGCTGTCAACCCTACCTCCATTTACCTCCCCCCACCTCTCTTGATCATAGACCTTATAAATATCCTAGTGAAATTTATACTAAATAATACTAAAACATATGTTATTTTCTAATTTAGTATTTAAACATTTTTATTTCTTAAACAATACTTGAATAATATTTAGTGGCAGGAATAATATCGAGTGATGGTGGACATTTAGTTCGAATAATGTCCAGTGACGGTAGACATTTACTTGAACAATGACTAGTGGACAATGATTAGTAGTACTACTGATAGATATCGGGTCTGAGAGACCCGACTCCAGGCCCAGTAAAGGCCCATAATGGTACGAGATGTATAAGGCCAGGTGGAGGGTAACGGGCCGAGCCCGTTACCACGCATGTGGCAGATGGAAAAAATGGCCCAATCATGGGTTAAACCAGGATGACCCAGTCTAAGGAAGGAATGGGACACGTGGCCCACATCATTGAGTTGTGGACGAGATGGGAAGAGAACGAGACTGGAAAAGAAGGAATCACCACCCAATGATCTCCATAATTTCTCCCATTTTGTGTAATTTTAATTACAATGTTAGAAGTACTATAAAAGGGGAAAGAACCCGCCATTGTAAAGGGGGACAACTCAAGTAATTCAATACTTAATCAAAGAATATTACGAGATTATATATTTCTGATCCACATTACGTTCTTGGTCCGCCATCTGATCGGGTTAATCCCATCATTGGTGCTTTCATTGAGAGATAACTGTGAGATTATGGCCGGACGAAGGACGAGACGTAACACTGCTGCTTCTGCCCAATCGACGGTGAGGAGTGACAACCCTAAACAGGGCATGATCGTTCCTGTCAATGGGTTGGAGACAGCATTGAATAATGTGGCTAACATGATGGCCAATGGTGGTCCCAAAGTGGTGAGTTACAAAGTCTAGAGGGGGGGGGGGTGAATAGACTTTGTTACAAATTTAAATTTTTTTTTTTCGTTTCTTTTGAAAACGTGAAAATGAGTGTTAATCTAGAGTTCTTGTGAACTTTAGATTATGTGCGGAAGTTGGTGGGTAGAGTGAGCAGTAATCAATATGGATGGGTTAGTTTTCTCAGTTAATATAATTGCAAGCAAGAATAAAGATAAAAGAGAGAGACACGCAAACTTTAACAAGGTTTGAAGGTGGGGTAATCCTTCTACGTCCTCAAAATCCACTATGTAGTTGGTTGTTGAATAATGAACCAACAATTACACTTGTGTGAATTTCTGCACGGTATATCTTCTGTAACACCCTAATCCATCCAGGCCTGCAGCCCCATTCGGACTAAAGTATTTAACTTGGTAATCGTAAAAATTTAAAACTTTTCAAACACACTTTATTAATCCCAATAATATTTTTCAATACATATACAATACGGAGTATTCAACAATATTGCGGAAGCGATTTTAATATTGACATATCATAAATTGTTTCAAAACTTGTCACATCCATCCCGACAATCTCGCCCCATCTGCCGCCAGGATCACATTCTGCTTTCTGCTTACCTGCGTGTAGCAAATAAAACACACTACACGCTCAGCGGTAAAGCTGAGTAAGCATATCTAATGCGTCGAACATCCATATAAACTGAATCTAAATTCATAATCAAATCATTTGATATCATGCACACAATGTTCATTTCAGACATTCACAGTTTTGGTATTGTTCAGTTCATATCAATACATTTTATTCAATTCAGATACTATTTCAATAGTGCTCTTAAATTATTCTTAATATAAGGCCAGATTATAACAATGCTCTTAGCTATTCTTAGTCTAAGGCCACATCATAATAATGCTCTTAGCTATTCTTAGTCTAAGTTAGATCATAATTTCTATAACCAGATTCTTAAAAGGCAATCATTAATCAGACACTTAAACTATCATTAGTTTAAGGCAATCGATTTCGGACACTTAACTGCAGTCAGTTAAGGTAATCAGACACTTAAACTATCACTAGTTTAAGGCAAATGATTCGGACACTTAACTGTAGTCAGTTAAGGCAACAACAATATAGCGATTGATCAACATTAGATCGGGCATTCCCAAACGAGTGATCCTCTAGTTTGGTCTATGAATCCCATTTATGTGTTTTTATCTAATTCATCAAATGTTCATGTTTTCATAAGCCTG